AAAGGTAGGGAATTTGAGTTGTATATTTAATTGCGTATTCCGATGTGTATTTCAGTCAGGATAGAAAGATAACTTTTTGACGGCGCCTTGCTTCACATTCGATCAAAAATCAACTTTATGCTACGATTAAATGTTCTCATGCTTTTACTAGAAGTTTCATTACAGTGTTGCCTTATAATTTTATTGCTAATTTTGCTAATTTTTTGTCTTTAAAGGTCTTGTGATGAACGACGGTTCCGAGCACAAATTTTTGCGCGCGTGGTCATTACGCACAATGAGAAACATCGGATACGGCAAACGCACAATGGCATATTTTCTTCTGAACGAACTTCAGATCATCTTAAATAAATTGAAAAAGGAAAATGTACGGTATATAAAACCTATAATCGCAACTTCCACACTCAACACGCTCTTTGTGTTGATTGCTGGAAAACATTTTTGTGAAAGCGATAAGAGATTGCAGTCACTTTTGCATCTGTTCGAATGTCGCGCGATTGTGTTCGACGTTACCGGAGGAATAGTGTCGTCATTTCCCTGGTTACGTTACGTCGCACCCAATATGACAGGATACAACATTTTATTGGAATTGAAGGAACAGCTCAAGGATCTTTTAATGGTTCGTAATATCTTTTTATTTAAAAACAATTCTTTGACAACGGTTTTGAAAATAAAATTTAAAGTGTATAAAAGATCATTTACGTTCACTTGACAGTTTCGTTTGTCTTATTTTTACATCTAATTTATTATTATTTTTGTAAATGTTAGCGCTTGTCTTATAGTTGTCACAACATTTACACTGTCTTGCTATTATTGATTGTTTAGGACGTTATTACTAAACACAAAGAGCGATATCAGAACAGAAGCGAGACGAACTTTATCGATTGTTTTCTTCGCGAGATGTCGGAGCACGACAAGAATGAACAATCTGTGTTCGAGGGTAGGAATGGTTTTGTATTCTAAAATTACCATAAAGTTCCAAATCAAGATCAATTTCGAGCAAAAATAATTAAAAGTTATATTTGTACACGTTTAGTACGTATG